CTTCCAGATTTTGGGGATAATAATAAATGTTTGAGTTTTTAGAAGTTATTTGATTTATTTTGTTAATGAGTTTTTAAGTCTTCCGCAATGTATTTAGTTCATTATGTTTGAAATGATGGGGTTAGATTGCTTGGTTCGCTCACATAGGAGGATAAATGTGGGTGCCACTCACTGCTCGATTTGGGTCATGACATATATACTGATAGAGATGTTAATTATTCATTGGTTTTATGAGACTGTCGATTTAAGGATTGGTCGAAAAATTCAATGTTAATGATATCACTTTGTGCGTTGAAGCTTCCATACCCTTCATTTTTTATCTAATAAGTCTTTATCCTCATACTTGTTTTCTTATTATATCAAGACAATTTCTATGATATAATAAAATAAAAGTATTCTAGTGCTTAAGTTATTATTATGAGCATAATGTACAAGTTAACTAAAATTTATATTAGTATATAAAAATGAAATCTTAATTTTTGGTTAAATTAATCCCAAAAAATGCATGTATTAATATCTGGCGACTTATAACCCAAGTAAAATGAAGCAAATAAACGCCCAGCAAGAAGTCAATGATTTGTTTATTAAAGCTGAAGCATTTTAAACAAGTTCAAAACTGAATTATACCAGATATCTTTCAACAAGTATTCTTCCAAATAAAAGGAAAAAAATATAGAGGTGATCCCTCCACTTGTTTCCAAGCTTCTTGCACCATCTTCATATAATCTAAATGGACAACTTAATAATAAAAAGTATTAAGACAAATGATGTTGCTAACACAATTTATTTCTAACATTCATAGGTACTTATTATTATTCATTTTAATATATATAGGTCACCCTAAATACATAAAGATGATATCTTGCATATTGAAATTATAAGTAAAAACAAAGCTAAAACATCAAGTCTGTAATCTTTAAAATGGACCAAATGTAAAGAAACTAGATTTTTAAAAAAATGTTTGTTTGTCACTCATGGATCAATCTAAATTTAAAAGTCATCTCCACCGAAAGCTTCATTGAGGAGAACATCGTCCCATTCCCATGCATCATTCTCATGTATTGTTTCAGCAAAGTATTCATTGTTTGCCATGGTATTCTCCTGATGATTGTGACAAAATATTTGAAGTGAGTTTTGTGCAAATAGTATCACAAATATAAATTTATAAAAAAAATAAAAAATTGATCAATAATAATAATAATATAGTTTTGAACTAACCTCCATGGGAAAGTTAAGCTCATTAACATTAGAAGCTATTGCATCACTTTGAATTGAAAATTGACCATTCGATTGAATGATGCGATTGATGTTGTTGTTATTGTCCAAGTTGATATTCCAATTTGAATGGTCATACTCCAACCCTAATTGGGAGGGAGAGTTCAATTGTGTACCCATATTCACGAGCGGACTCGAGTCATACCTGAAAGAAACAATGTTAAAGAACTACAATACCAACAAAACTACTAAATGTATTTCATTGACTTATTGTATATGATATTATTATTATTTATGCGGTCTCTTTTATCATGCAAACAATGATTAAATGCATGAATATCGAAAGAAACCTTGTGGAAGCGCAATTATTCTGCCAGAACTTTGTGAGAGAGTTGTCACTACTTTCACCAAATGTCAGTTGTTCCTGCAAATTATTAGTTAACTACTTTAGTACAAGAGCGGGCAATGAAGGGATAAGATTTTTTCTATGAATAACATCTCAAGAATATTAATGTACCTCTGACAATCCAAATGTTTCTGTTGATTTCTGCTGGAGACCTACTAGCATGTTCGGTTGTTGGTTCTATTGTGCAGATAAAAATAATTATATCAAAATTTTTAAAAAAATATCTCACATTTTTAAGAAGACCTTAATAATAAATAATATTTCTAGAATATTAATTTTTTTGTGATTGTCCAAGTGCTTGTGTTGAATTCTGTTGGACATAAACCATTATGTTTTGTTGTTGGCTCTATTTCGCAGATAAAAACAATAATATCAATTTTTTAAAAAAAAAAATCACACTCTTTAAGAAGATATTAACAAAGAATATTATTTCAAAAATATTAATTTACATGTAATTGTCCAAATGTTTGTGTTGAATTCTGTTGGACATCCACTTCCATGTCTTGTTGATGGATCTATTGAGCGGATAAAAATAATGCTATCAACATTCAAGAAAATATTTCATCTTCTTAAGGAGATCTTAATAAAAAAAATTATATTTCAAGAATATCAATTTACTTGTGATTGACCAAATGTTGGATTCTTCTGGACACCTACCACCATGTTTTGTTGTTGGCTCTATTTTACAAATAAAAATAATATCAAAATTCAAAAAAAAGGCTCATCTCTTTAAGGAGATTTTAACAAGGAATAGTGTTTCAGGAATATTAGTGTACATGTGCTTGTCCCAATACTTGTGTTGGATTCTGTAGGATATCTACTTCCATGTTTTGTTGCTGACTCTATTGTTAGGGTCAAAATTATTATATAAAATTCAAAAAAAATATAGTCTATTTAAGGAAATCTTAACAATCAAGAATATTAATGTACTTGTGGTTGTCCAAATGTTTGTGTTGGATTCCGATGGACATCTACCATTATGTTTTGTCGTTGACTCTGTTTCGCATATAAAATAATATATCAAAAAAATAAAAATAAAAATCTCATATCTTCAACGAGATCTTAATAGGAAATAGTATTTCAAAAATATTAATATACTTGTGATTGTCCAAATATTTGTAATGAATTCGCATGAACATCTACCATCATGTTTTTTTGCTGGCACTATTGTACAAATAAAATAAATCATATCAAATATTTGAAAAGAAAATATCTCAATTTTTTAGAAGATCCTAAAAAGTGTTACCTGCAATGGGGTAAAAGGTGATGGATTTCGAGAAAATGACATATTCCCTAAATGTGAAGAACCAGCGAAGGAAGGGGTATATGTGTAATTGCTAGACTGTTTGCTACTCTCTTTCCTTTGTCCATCCAATCTTGATTTTGAATAGTTGAACTGCAACAATAATGAAATAATGAAAGCAAAAGGAGAAAGGAGAGGGAATTTTTCAATTATGTGAAAAAAGTTAATAACCTGAATGGATTAATCCAATTATTAATATCAAACTGGTGAGGAGCCATTTGTTGTGCAACAGAGTGAACATCCATATTTCCTTGTTTCTCCAATTCCATCTAACCAAAATTCATTTGACATTAGTTGTGATTTTACATTATTTCTAAGAAAAATAAGTATTTTCTTGAAAATTTTGATTTCATATTATTCGTCAAATGACAAATCAAGGAAAATTAAATGGTGAAGAACAAACTTTTCTAGCCAAGATTTTTTGAAGAGAGAATTTCAAGTTACTCTCACACCAACGTAGTTGGTGAAGAGAAGGCTCTTGTTCTGCTCCTGTTTCGTAATCCTTGCATAATCATATTGTTAGACAGAATATATCGACAACCACTTTAACTTAGTAGTGTATTACATTTAGACCAGTGAAATACTCTATAATATAAATGTCTAAATGAAAAATGAAGGTATGAAGGTGATGTCAATATATTAAACCATGAGACTATAATTAAGAAAAACACTTGTAATACTAAATTAAATGACCTTATCTTAGCATCCACAATTTGTAGCTCTAATGTGCTCTTCTTGATTTGTAGCTCCAAATTCTATATCAAAAAATTTCAATTTAAAATAACTTTATCAATTTTCGTCATTGGCTCTAGAATGATATATTAACAATTATTTAGACAATTCTTAATTTCTATTTCAAGTCACACCTAATTAACACACTACTAATTAGAATAGCAAGGGTAGATTGAAAAGAGAAAAAACAACTCATAATAGAGACATCAAATTAAGTTTTGCTTACCTCAATTCTGTAGAAATTAAGACACACGCGATAGGTTGAAACATCCAAAGACAGCCATCATGATAAAGTTTAATAATTAGTGAGAAAGTCCTGAATTTCACTTAATACAAAAGAATTCAAGTATGAAGTATTAGGTCTAGGTTGTATCTAACATTCAATAAATCAAAATATTGTAACGTTTATATAACTCGACATATTTGAGTTTGTTCATATTATTAGTCTCAAGTCTAAATAGTGCAGCAGGGTTGTTGATGTCTGATGGTCAATCAAAAATAATTTCTTCACTCCATAAAGATGGAAACTAGGTTGAGTATATCTTACTCTCCTTAGATCTTATTAATAAGATTATATCGAGTTTGTTGATGGTGGTGATGGTGATTGTGTCAAACTTATACACATGCTTGTCTATATTTTTCCTTGGTCAAAATTGATTTTGTTAATTATGCTTTGGCCGAATCTTAGATCTCTTTGGTCTGATATAGACAATATTTATAATAATAATAATAATAACAATATGCATATGATAATTTAAGTTTATAAGTTAGTTAAATTAATTTATCTACTGTATGAAACTGTCACTCCTATCAATTTAAAGATTTTCATTTTATTTGCACCTTTAATTTAATTGAAGATTTTATTCATTTATCCCTAATATCTTTTCTAGTTTTCAAAGTATTCTTTTAAAATAAAGCTTCTAATTCTCTTTTTATTCCATTTCGTCGTTCGTGAATCTTCTTAAACACATACTTTTTAATTTTACATTTTTTCTAAATAATATCGTAACACAATATAATTAAAGACAATAAAGTAAACAAAGGAAAAAGTGAGAAAGAGAGGAGATCCAAACTGTTTGTCAAGAAGGTGCAGCTTGCTAACATCTCCTCTCATGTGATTCAATTGTCTCAATTTTTCCACCTTTTCCTTCATTAATATACCAAAAAAATGTATTAAAACTAATTTAAAATGGGTCAAACAGATATCAATAATTTTTTTTTAAAAAAATTATGACAACTCTCTCAATTATACACTTTTTTAATTAAGTCAAGCTTGTTTTGTTGAATGAATTAAAACAAGTCAAAAGTCACTTAGTATTTCGTTAATTTTTAGAATGTCATTTTCAGAATCTTTTAATTAATACACACTCAATTTCAATTTGTTTATCTGATTTCATCTTGATGTAATTTAATAAACTAATATCACTTTTATACCTTACGATCTCAAACTAAAGAGAGATAGAATGTGTCAAAATAAACATGTGTTATGTGAAAAGTTGGAATTAAAAAGTTATCGAAAAAGAAAAAAAAGTTTTGATCAAAGATCGTTAAATGTTCTACATTGGTGAATAACTAAACTTCTGAGGGTATAATTAGTTTTGCCTAAAATTTAACTAAACATGGTATAAGAGTCAAAC